ACCACCTGTCCACCACCACCACAACCACCTGTCCCTACCACAGCCACCTGTCCCCACACCACCACAACAACCACCTGTCCACCACCACCACACCCACCTGTCCCCACCACAGCCACCTGTCCCCTACCACCACAACGACCTGTCCACCACCACCACAACCACCTGTCCCCACCTCTCACCACAACCACACCTGTCCCCTACCACCACAACCACCTGTCCACCACCACCACAACCATTCGTCCCCCACCACACAACCACCTGTCCCCATGACCGCTACCACCTGTCCACCACCACAACCACCTGTCCTCCCTACCACCACAACCACCCGCTTACCATCACAACCACGTGCTACCACCACAACCACCTGTCCCCTACTACCACAACCACCTGTCCACAATCCAACCATCACCACAACCACCTGTCCACCACCACAACCACCTGTCCACCACCACCACAACCACCTGTCCACCACCACACCACCTGTCCCCTACCACCATAGCCACCTGTCCCCTACCACCCACAACCACCTGCCCACCATCACAACCACCTGCCTACCATTCAACCACTCCGTCCATCACCACAACGACTCATCCACCACCACCACAACCACCCGTCCACCACCACAACCACCTACCTACCACCACACAGCCACCTGTCTACCACCACAACCCTCTGTCCCTTCCACCATAACCACCTGTCCACTACCACCACAGCCACCTGTCCACCACCACCACATCCCCTGTATATCACCACAACCACCTGTCTACCACCACAGCCACCTGCCCATCACCACCACAACCATCTGTCCAACACCACTACAACCACACCTGCCCACCACCACAGCCACCTGTCCCCTACCACTACAACCACCTGTCCCCTACCACTATAACCACCTGTCCACCAAACCACCTTCCATCACCACCACAACCAACTGTCCCCCCACCGCTACAACCACCTGCTTACCACCCACCACAACCACCTGTTTATCACCTCAACCACCTGCCCACCACCACCACACAACCATTCGTCCATCACCACCACAACCACCTGTCCCCTACCACCACAACCACCTGTCCCCTACCAATTCAACCACTTGTTCACCACCACCACCACAACCACCTGTCCCCTACCACCACAACCACCTGTCCGCCACCACCACAACCACCTGTCCCCTACCACCACAACCACCTGTTCCCTACCACCACAACCACCTGTCCACCACCACCACAACCACCTATCCATCATAATCCTTAATAACTGTCTGCGCGGCGGAACTGTCGGGCTTCAAAAACCGCTTTAAAGGTTGTCATATATCTTGGTGGATTCTTCTCTATTTCTCACCAATCTCAAAGTCCCTGAGCCACCTTCTCAACGAACCAAGAGCACCTTATCGGTTCCCTCTCAATAAACCTTTGTCATGCGCTTAACGAGTTTTGAAATGCGTTTCGAATCTTGTTTAACTTCCTTCATTATTTTTATTTTCCTAGTAACCCAAGAGGTCTCACATCTCTATTAAGTAAAACACATACATTTACAACTAATAACTTAAATTCCGTTGTAATTTTTCGGAAAATGCAAAATGTTCAAATTGTGGGAGTAAAGTGCTTGGATGTTCAGTTTGTAGTGAAGAATTAAGGCCTAAGTTAAAAATAATGTACTTCCATCCTTTGGTTGGTAGGCTAGGTTGTTCATCTTATCTTTGATAAAACATAAGGCAACAGTCACAGTCACTGAAAGTGGTCGTACGTGTAGAACGGCTGCTGGGAAGCGTTTGTTTGTAAACATCAGATCAAGCGCCAGAAGTAGCGTGGGATGAACTTAGCGGTTTGGAAGTTCAAAACAATATTTATTGGAAAAAGTTACGTAAAGGTAAAAAAATGGAAATTGCAATTCCTCATAATTAGTTACGAGTTTGTCGAGGTGAGGATTATTGTAAGTTGTCTTTAACACAGTGTTGTCCGAGAGTGCCGGACCAATATTTAACTGTCCCATCATCTTAACCAACCTATTTAAATTTTTTAAACCAAACTTTCATAACCGTTTTCATTTCCATTAAGACAACAACACTAGTTTTACTTTAGCATCCCCTGAGTACATCATCCACCAAAACACCTGCATCTACAGTACTCACAATTTACCATCCGATTGAGATTTTCACCAACACTACCTATACTAGTTTCCTTGTTTTCACATACAGGTGAACGGCGGCTTTAATAACCTAGTTAAATAACATCTTGTGATATGGACAAAAAACAGCAGCGCACACCGGCTCTACACACAAAAAGACTACCGAGAATATGAATAATCTCCATGAAGTGTTTACAGTCACCCGCCCTTGTGTTGGGTCTCGCTGGCTCCCATCCCAAGTGTTTGAGGCCCTCATGTTTTCTATTATGTGAATGATTAATCCATGAGTGTATCTTCGAAGGTCATTTTTTTTTACTTCAAACATTTCTTTACATAAACCCACAGTCATTACCTTTATTTCATATCAACCGGACAATAGAATGGGGGGCTATGATAGCGTAGGATGGAATATTTAACTAACTATATCAGGTTGTTTTTGTTTGTTTTTCTCAATAACAGACGAATTAGTACTCGAGTAAGAACGAGAGAAATAATAATAATAATAATAATACACAATAACGAGACTACTGTAGACATAAACTGGATCCATTCTCAGTACTGAAGTCGAGTGAGGTCAGGCTTGTATGTGCCGTTTTCCACTCACTACACCTACACAGCGCCCTGATGCTTAGTGATACATACACACAAAATACCCTGGCATTCATAGATACACAACACCCTGACGTGTATATATATATATATATATATATATATATATATATATATATATATATATATATATATATATATATATATATATATATATATATATATATAAGTTCCCTAACATACAGTACATGTATACATATATGCACAGCTCCCTGTCGTACATACGCACATACATATACTGTAGGTAGATACACACATGCGCGAACACACACACACACACACACACTGTCATATGCACGCACACATATATACAACAAACTAACAAACAGACACACACACGCATACTGTACATACATAACAGCCTGATAACCACACATACATGCACACATACCGGTCCCAGACTCGGTATCCCTCATAACCTAACCTAACCTAACCCTCGCTCAGATGTGACATTCTCAAACACAGATGAATTTCGGTGTTACTATGCAAACATTGTTCAGGCTTTACCTTGACGCGCGTGCCAAATCGCTTAGACTGGACTATGTTGCAAGCAGACACCAGGCCACCAACAGACTCGTCGCATCAAATACACCGTTGGTTAGACTTGTTTGTGTGAGCCTTTGTAGAGTCTGAGGTTTACAATAATAACAGACTTTCAAGATCCCGAGAACCTTACTGTAATGGCTGATGTTACAATGGTTTCTGAAGACATGTTCGGTTAGGTTAGATTAGGTTAGGTTAGATTAGGTTAGGTTAGGTTAGATTTGAAATGGTGAGAGACAGTTGGTTTTATTACGTCTCTCTTATCACCTAAGCTCGATAATATTATTTATTTGTTTATTTATTTATTTTTTTAATTTCTGGGTGGACGTTTTTCTAGCAACAAAATAAATTGGGATTTTTTGAGGGGGACCATTCTGTACAGTACATAAAACACAAACTCTGATTTACATGCACCATACACAACACGTAGACGTATACCCACACACACACAGAACACCCAGGCACACACACATACATAGCTGCTGACACACACACACACACACACACACAGAACACCCAGGCACACACACATACATAGCTGCTGACACACACACACACACACACACACACACACACACAGAACACCCAGGCACACACACATACATAGCTGACACACACACACACACACACACACACACACACACACCTTGACACACTTTGACACATACACACACACACACACACACCTTGACACATACACACATACACAACACCCTGACCTACTTGCTATACAACACTCAGAAATACATACATACAGTACATACATACATACATACATACATGCATACATACATACATACATACACAAACCCGCAGAAGTGCACACATAACCAGACATACACGTATATACAGCATCTACAGTAGATAGACAGGGGCGATATAGCCTTGCACACACACACACACACACACACACACACACACACATGCCAGTCGTCAAGGAGAGATGTGATTTAAAAACTACATGTCAAAACTACAGGTACAAGTGAAGGCTACAGGTCAAGACTACAGGTACTAGTGAAGGTTACAAGTCAAGATTACAGGTACTGGTGAAGGTTACAGGTCAAGACTACAGGTACAAGTGAAGGTTACAGGTCAAGACTACAGGTACTAGTGAAGGTTACAAGTCAAGATTACAGGTACTGGTGAAGGTTACAGGTCAAGACTACAGGTACAAGTGAAGGCTACAGGTCAAGACTACAGGTACTAGTGAAGGTTACAAGTCAAGATTACAGGTACTGGTGAAGGTTACAGGTCAAGACTACAGGTACAAGTGAAGGTTACAGGTCAAGACTACAGGTACTAGTGAAGGTTACAGGTTAAGACTACAGGTACTAGTGAAGGTTACAGGTCAAGATTACAGGTACTGGTGAAGGTTACAGGTCAAGACTACAGGTACTAGTGAAGGTTACAGGTGGAGTTATAGCTTAGAGTTAGAGGTGGAGTTATAGCTTAGAGTTAGAGGTGGAGTTATATCTTAGAGTTAGAGGTGGAGTTATAGCTTAGAGTTAGAGGTGGAGTTATCGCTTGGAGTTATAGGTTGGAGTTAGAGGTGGAGTTATAGCTTGGAGTTAGAGGTGGAGCTATAGCTTGGAGTTAGAGGTGGAGCTATAGCTTGGAGTTAGAGGTGGAGCTATAGCTTGGAGTTACAGGTTGAGTTATCGCTTAGAGTTAGAGGTTGAGTTATCGCTTGGAGTTAGAGGTGGAGTTATAGCTTACGGTACCTTGGCTGGGGTGTAGAGACGCATGGGGTGGGGTATAGTATCTCCTCACACTGGTACACGACACTGAGGCTTGAGAGACTGCCAGCCAGATGCCCAGCCTGGCACCACCACCTCCCCCTCCCCCCTCCCTCCTTCTCTGGCACTCTCTCTCTCTCTCTCTCTCTCTCTCTCTCTGGCGCCGACTGCTTGCCTCTGAGTCATCCGGCACGCCTCTACACACACACACACACATGCCTCCTACCACACACACACGCACACAGACACAAGCGCCTCCCACCACACACATGCCTCCTATCACACACACACACGCCTCCACCACACACAAGCCTCCACCACACATACATATACGCACCTCACACACACACACACACACACACCTCCTACCACACACACACGCTCCCACCACACACACACACACGCCTCCTACACACACATACACGCCTCCTACCACAGACACACACGCCTCCTACCACACAGACACACACACACAGACACACACAAACACACACGCCTCCCACCACACACACACACACGCCCTACAACACGCACACACACACACACACAACATGCACTGCCACACACACACATACGCGCCTCCTACCACACACACGCCTCCCACCACACACACACACGCCTCCACAACACGCACACACACACACACACACAACATGCTACTGCACACACACACATACGCGCCTCCTACCACACACACGCCTCCACCACACATACACACACACATACACACCTACACCCCCACACACGCAGATACACACCTCCTACCACATACAAACACAACATGCCTCCTGCCACACACACACACACGCCTCCTACCACACACACACATACACACACACACACACACACACACACACACACACACACCTACACCCCCCACACACACGCAGATACACACCCCCTACCACACACACACACACACACACACACACACACACACAACATGCCTACTGCCACTTAATTTCTCCGGGTCAGCTGCGATACCTGATGCTGAGAGAGTGTACCCACAGAAGTTCACTGATGGAGCGGCGACTACAAACTTGTCAGCGTTGAGGGTAATCCCGTACTTTCGACATCTGGTGAGAACTTCATATACTCGGGAGAGGTGGTCACAGTAGTCTTCGTCATGGAGTAAAATATCATCAACCACCTTGACACAATTCGTGACTCCTTGAAGGGCCGCGTCACCACGTTGACAGAATGCATCGCCCGTAGTGGCAAATCCCATGGGGTCTCTGCAATACTGATATCTTCCATATGGTGTGATGAAAGTAGTCAAGTGTTGGTCTTCTTCGGCCAACTCGATCTGCCAATAACCACATAAGGCGTCCATCGTTGTAAAAAACTTCGCCTTCGGGTCTACATTTCGAACAGCTGCGAAGGGTGTGGGTGAAGGGTGGGCTGGACGGGAAACTTGCTGGTTAAGTTTCGACAGATCGGTGGTGATCCGTACTCCACCACGAGGTTTGGCGACGGGGACGAGAGGGTGGCACCAAGGTGAAGGTTCGTCTCCGGCCGGCTTGATTCCCTGAGCAACCATGGAGTCAAGCTCTTGTCTAACTAGCTCCTTGTAGGCGTGAGGAATCAAACGAGGGGTGTGGATGGCAAAAGGTGTGGCACCATCCTTAAGATGAATCTTCATAGGTGGACCCACCATCGGCTTGAGTGGTGTGGATCCTAAAGATTTCTTCGTAACCAACACGTCAGCAAACTCCTTGAGAAGGTAAGCTCTTGCATCAGAAGGGGACGTGTTAGTAGAGATAGGGAATTCCTTCAACCTGTTGACATGGGTGACCTTTAAGATAGGTTTGGGGAATTCCTTGGAAATAATGGCCAACTCTTGACAATGGCCATATGATAAAAGTGGAGTCGGGATTCCATCATGAACATCAATCCGGGCTGAGCAAGACTGCTTACCAAAGGTAAGAGTAGCCCAGAAAGATCCCAAAGCTGGAGCCATCTTGGAACCATCAGCTGTCAGTTTCGTTGTCTGAGGAGGGGGCAGTAGGTTGCTCAGGGGTATTCCCAAACTTGCTAAGTGTTGTGGACCAATTACTGAGACGTCAGCACCGGTGTCAGGTAACATCTGAAGACTGGATGACAAGTTACCGTAAGAAATGACGACACTGATGTGCTGGGGCGTCGTGTCTGTGGAACAATGTACACGACGGCAGGAACGACTGGACACAGCGTCTTGATGCTTGCCAGAAGGAGGGGGCGCGCCAGCATTACCTGAGGATGACTTCTTGGATCCTAGGTGGTGTCCTTTTTGTGTCTTCTTACGACAACATTTGTCATAATGGCCCACACGACCACAAAGTCTACACTGAACTTTGCTAGCAGGGCACTTGACTGTGTAAGCCCAGTGACCCTGGCGGTCGCAACTTCTGCACACGCTTTGAGCAGCTGGGCACTGGGAGGCATCATGCTGTCTCGCGCAGCTGTTACACAAAGCTGCTGCTGAAGGTGTAGCTGGAGGGTGAGGGGTGGGGTTACCTTGCTGCTTCTTACCCTTTCTGTAGGAAGACACCACCCTCACCTGGTCAGGTTGTGAACGTAAAGCTGAAGTCGCACACCTGGCGGCCTCGTACCCTCGACATTTTGTGACTACATCTTGAAGGGAGGAAGTGGGGTCAAGTGAAATGAGACGCTGAACTAGCTCTTCATCTCGAACACCCGTTAAAATGATTGTCTTAAGTTGTGTCTCTTCACAGACTTGAGAAAGTCCAGGACAAACATCAACTTCCTCTGAACATCTCTTGAGTCTTACAAAAAATGCATCAAAAGATTCTCCATCAAGCTGCTTACATTGGAGGAGTTCTCTTCTTCTGAGTGCTTCGTTGCGCTGTCCCTTAACATGTTCCTGTAACTTGTCGAGCACGGCCTCTACCGTCAGAGTTGTCGTAGGAGGCACTTGAAGTGTGTGCTCGAGAGTACGTTGTGTCTCTAAGGACAAGCACATACGAAGCTGTATCATCTGTTTAGGCTGTGGTAAACTTGACAGGTCAACCATTGTTGCATAGTCTTGCCAACGTCGACGCCATTCCCGAAGTATCTGATAAGAAGAGTCAGACTTCAGAGAGGGAGGCGTTTGTGCTGCAGCCTTCTGGGGAACTGTTGAATCGACTCTGGGAAATGAGGTACCAGTCCCTCTAGTCGTATCAGCATTAGTAGTAGTAGACGAATCTTGTATGGTAGATCGTTGTGGGGAGGCTAACAGAGAAATCAAGACTTCAAACCTGGCTTGATCCTCTCTTCTTCTCAGGTCATCCTCACTTCTACGTATATCTTCGAGTTCTCTGCGTCTTTGTTCCTCTTCATGGAGCCGTTTTTCAGACTGCCTTTACCGAATTTCTTCCTCATTTCTCCTTGCAATATCGTCCTGGCGTCGAGAAGTTTCCATCCACTTAATCAGTTGAAGGAGATCTGTGGACGCATGCATCGCAGGGGAGCTTGCTCGCGACGAACGAGGAGATTCTGTGGGTGATTCGGCGTTGTCACTGTGGGGAGCGTGGGGAGCCTTAAACTCATAATCCCATCGTCCAGGGTATCATTTTGATCCCTGTGAGACATGCCGACAGCTTCTGTACTCTATCTGTGCAAAAGACCGGGTCAGCCCCTCGTAATCTATGCACAGAATTACAGAAGTCTGAAGTAATTCGCAAGAATTTAATATAAGGTGGGTCTGTGAATGCGTGTGTGTGTGTATGGCTGGTTGCTGGGAGAGGCTTGGCGAGTGCTGGCAACTGGGCAGAGTCGCTTGCTGGTCCCTGAGTTACCCTCAGACCAGAGACGGGAGCGGACGTGCTGCTGGACCAGCTCCCTTAGTCATCTGACCGCAACTTGCACAGACAATTATGATTAAAATACACAACACAGCACTTCACAAAACACTTCACTTCACAGCACTGTACACAGCATAGCACTTCACAACACTGTAAGTCTAGAGGCTTGTAGTTGTTGTAAATCCTTGGTGAAGCTGAAGACGAGATGCCATTAACACAGTCTGGGCGGGAAGGCTAGGTCCACTGTATCTCACTGAGAACTATCCACTGCGCCATCTATGTTTGTCTTTGATACCTCCAAAATGTTCTATACTACTGAGGGTATACAAACACTTGTTATCTTAAAAATAGGTTTTTATTCTCGTATGGGAGATATACAGAGATGGACCAAGAAACTCGCTTCCGCACTTGAGGGACTGGTAGTCTCCACTCTATGTATCACTGCGCGCTGGCGTGTACAGATGCCAGCATTCACAAGCTGAATACATAAAGTATAAATTTGATAATTCATATACATAACATGGTGCACAATAAATGGAAATATTACATAGGATTAATACATGTTCTGTAATACTTTACTATACATAATTAATAAGAGTAATATAAGGATACACAGCTTAAGGTACTACTTCGTGTCCATATCATACACAACCCAACACACACCTGACGCTTGACCTGACGCTAACCCGACTCTGTCCTGCCGCCTCCTAGCCGCGTCCAGGCGAGTTGCTGCTGCCTCCAACTTATACTCCCTCACGCAAGCGGTGTTTAGCCACTGCACCTATTCTCTCCTCCTAAAATTCACTTCAATCCTCCCTTTATTCTTCCCCTGAACCTCCTTTCCCCCTGTCACTAGCATTTCATGTTCATGTGTTCAGCCTGTCTCTTACCGTTGACGACCGGAACGCAAAATATCACCTCACCAACCAACACTTCTACACTTGGGAAGCTCGTTTTTGACAACTCCCTCTCTGTGCCTCCCCACTGATCTGGGGTGACTCCTGATCAGAGGCGGCCCAGATTGGGTGCTCTGCGACGGTTTCCTGTAGCGGACGTAGGCCGCGACCCCACTGGTGTTTCTTGCACCAGTGGCTATTCTTCCTTTATTCTTCCTTCTATTTTGCTCTGGCCTGGGTACCTGCATCCTAGAGGTGTATTCGTCCTTGGGTCCTCCCTGTAAATGTTCACCTCCCTCCCAGGAGTTAGTGAACACGAAAGGGAGAAGGAGCAGAACCATCCCTCCGCCGAGCCTTCCTGGGAAACCGTGATCGTGCGGGTCCA